AAAACATGACACTTATAAAAGAAATCTTTAGATGTAGGCTGACTGGTGTATATAAAAGAAATCTTCAAAGAAAAACTCGATCTTCAAGTCGAGATAATACTTATAGCTTTCACAAGCTTTTTATTTCAAAAGTCTCAGCCTTTAAGCATGAACTGACATTATCAAGCTCTTTATATATTTCATTGATGTTTACACCATCAATCTTGACTGAGATAATAAATAATAAATAAGTTCATTATCAACCCTTTATCGAGCACACAATGGTACATATTATTCCTTCAATGAGGATATTAACTCCATTCGCAACCCTTTAAAGAGTAAATAATGACTCATAATAATACTTAAATAAATCCTTATTTCGAGAATTATGAATCCATCCAGGATTTCTCAAAATAAATTTAATTGCATATCTAAATTTATTATTCTACTAATTGTATTATGTAGCGGAACTTAATGCCATTTACCGTCGGGGAGTATATTTGATTAAAATCAATTAAGGGTCTCTGCGTGAACCCGTAGGCTACAAACTCACTTCATATCTTATCACCTTGTTATTCTTATTCTCTTTCATGCACACACCCATTTGTAACCTTCAGGGTTAACGCTTAATGGTGTATTGTTATAAAGAGAATTTATTCATTTTAGTGAGTCGAGCTATGCCTTAATTGCTCCTTTATATATTAAATAGTCATGGCACTTCTGGTGCCTAACTCTGGATCCAGATTATCATATAACGAGCAATTTGTAATGGCAATTGTGTTGTCGACAACTATAACCTTTTTGTAAAACTCCCATATTTGTAAAAGTAATGGCAATTTCTAAAACAACCAGATTCTAAACATTTCCTAAAGATATTTTGATCTGGTCGTTCCGCATCCCTAGTATTACGTTTGTTTGGTGCACCTATAAATTTTTTACTAGGGTTTTTCGTCATCTGGACGAACGTCTGCAGGACATAATTGTTCAAGCTATTTCAAGAGTGACAATATTTCTTTACTAGATCTAGTATTATGATCCATATCTCTTTCACCGAAAGATCTCATACACTTCTAGTGTCAAGGAGTATCGATAGATATGTTTGGTCCAAGGATATAGGACCTAGTCACTTCTTTTATGATCATTATGATCAATAGATGTATTTGGCAGATTATTTGCTAAAATCACAAATAGATTATCTTTTGAACTTCCAGTTCAATCTAACTAGTACATGGATTTAAATAATGAAGATGTTTTTATTCTTATGAAATTTCTTGGCATTCCAAAAAAAACTACGGAGTAGTATATTATCTCCCCCTAATGCCGAGAAACAATCTTCATTAGCAATGCAGTCAACGTACCCAATTATATGTATTGATCCCCTATCATGGGCTTTCGGTATTTAATCAATAGACGATGGTTTCTTTGATAGCCCTTTTAGAGGTACGTTGTGGTGGTGATATAAAATAGACTGCGCAAATAAAATAACGCAGATAAGGAAATGTTACTTCTGAAACCACGTACTAGGTGAAAAGGGGGGGTATAGCAATCCTTGAGGGATTGATTTGTGATATGCATTGAGTTAGACTTGGGTAAAAGGAACTTGACTCATAGTAACGTCATAGCAATCCTTCAGGGATTGATGGGATAGGTGGACCATTTTTGGTCAAGAATTTATTGTCAAGTTTCATACTAAAGAGTGACTCATAGAATTAAAGTCCTTAATGTACCTTCTGGGCAAATAAATATAGAAAAATGCGGGCTATAAAGTTAAATATCATATGCCCAAATCTCATGTCAAAGAGTTTCTATAGCAGAAACTAGCACTATAAACATGTCATAGCCTTTAATTGTTATCACATGCAAGCTAAGGTTTAGCAACGACAGGTGCAACCTAACCATATTGAGAATTCATGATATTGCCACACTTATAAGTTGGGTGATGAATCTCAATAGCTATGGCCTATAGCAAATAATTAATTGCCAACAAGAAATAACAAAAGCTCTTATATGAGCCTAATCAAGAGATTATATGCGAAAAGTTGTCAATTAAAGAGAAGCATGCAATAACATGTGATATAATTGTCCCTTATGTCTTGGACACCAAACTCTTAATTGAGTCATGCACATCCATTAAATAAAGAGTATCATGTTTGGTACACACAAGGCATGACATGACAAGAGATATTGTTTATTAATTCATAAATTAGAAAAATGAGAGAAGTACCGTTTGCCGAAGAATAATGAGCACATGTTCGCTGCCGGGCCCATTCATTCCTATTTCGGGGAGTCAAAAATAGCACTTTTCCAAGCAAGCTCTCATTTTATTTCATAGTTTCATATAAGCATGAAAACATCACAAAATAGCAAGATATACAAGCTGAAAACGGCAGAAAATTTTCAGAATTTTGACCTGGATTGCAGAATTTTCTGGGAAAAAACGGTAACACATTTTGACCCAAAATTTTACAGATATGTAGTTCAGCAGGTCTAGAACGTACACGAAAATTTTCATGCCAATCCA